TATTTTAACTTATTGTCTACAAAAATATGTTGCCATGTAATACAGTTTTGTTTCATTCAATACTATACATATGAGCTACTTCCTAAATTGTTGCACAAAATTCTAAAATGCCAAACATAAAAATTATGGCATTATGGCATAATTTGACCAGGCTTACAATTTTACTAATGTTCTATTACTGTACTTATAGATCATAACCAGAAGGGAATAACAGAAGCACTGAACTTGACATGCAAATACTCTTTTCCTCTTTCTTGGGATTTGCAAGTATTTGTCTTCAAACTGTAGAAGAGAGTATTTGAGAAATATTACTGTAGAAGTAATGATAGAGCCAGGAGAGAGAAATGTACAGAGAAATGAAGATGGTTATACAGATAGAAACTGGCAAATTTTCTTACCACATTTTTTTAGACAGTTTTGTATAGGAAGTTATATTGATCATTAAGCTCTTAAAATGAATATATATGAAATTAAGACTATTTCTCAACTCCATTTTTCTTGTTCTTTTTAAATGCTATTAAATACTACCTTGAGATCAGGAACTGGTATAAATAATAGATTAATGGAATTGGAAATAGGTAAATAGTAACCATATTCCCCTAAAAAAAAACAAAGAAGAAATAAAAAGTGGCTGCTTTCCCAATGATGTATTTTTATTCTTTTTATGGTAATCACATTATTGTTATCTTCCCTACTAAGAACTTTGTTTTGTTCATTTAACACTTATTTCAACTAATATTTACCAAAGCTCAGTTAAGACTGTCCAAGACAATTTGAAGACCCAGTCTTTGAACTTGAAGAATTCCCTAGTGGAAGCAGATGTAAATATAAATAGAAAATACACTGTAATATGAGAAATACTAGAATGGAAGTACAGTACAAGCACGTACAAAGGGCTGTGGGATCCCGCTAAAGGGCAGGACACTGTCAAGCTCTGTGTTTTCAAGGAACAGACTCAGTATTAACGGTCCACATTCTGATAGAGTGTGGGATCATGGCAGTCATTTACAAAGGAATATCCAAGGAAGGTAAAAGGTGGCTGAAACAGTAATGCGGGTAAAAAGAGCAAAACTAGAAAGAAATGGGAACACAAACTGAGAGAGACACAAATTGCTCTAGATGACAAATATGTGCCTAAAACTGCAAACACACACATAAACGGGCTAGATTTTAAACAGGCACATAGTGAGAATTCCCGAGTGGTAGAATAACAAGGATTAGCAGCAGCACAGTGGAAAGACAAATGAGTGTGTGTGTTCACATTTCCTGGAATCTATACAGGGATCCCAATTTCCATTCACATAAGTAGCGCCATTGATGTAAGTAGGAAACAAAGGTTCCATTAAGGCTTATTATGTGATTTAGATAGCCTGGTGTGTAATTTTTCTGCCAAAACGGATTTAATTACTTATTTTAAGTGAAGTAGTAAGAAATAAGATCTTATATCACCTCTCATATTTTAGCTATGTAGTCCAGAATCTTCTCTGAGAAAAGAATCCTAGAAAACACAGTAAAGACCTCATGAATAAATGCCAATATATCCCCAAGTTGACATCTGAAAACCAGGTAAACATCATTGACTTTCCTTTAAAATAAATTTAAAAAGTTATAGATACCATATATAGTTTCTTTAAATAACTGCCCTGAAATAAGACATCATCATTTATAATAGGCTTCATTTTGCTGATTTACTTGGTTTTCACAATTTCACATGAAAATTGGGGAATGACAACTAAGTTTCTATAATCGCATGCCACCCTTGTGTATATCAAATATGATCTTAAAGAAGATATTTAAATGTACTAAAATTTAACACTGTAATGAAGCATCAGTCCAACAATTTACTTTTATGACATATTCCAGATAACATTTGTAATTGTTGGTGCTATCACTACAAAACAGTGATAGTTTTCTTCTTGCTGTTCTCTGGCTATGAAATTCTTCAGTACATGAATGTATTAGTAACAAATGTTTTAGTAGAACTCTTATCTCAAAATCAACATCCCTTCCTGGGAGCCTACAGTTTCGTCAAATACTAATTAAATATGATTTTATAATTCCAATGGCTACATTAAAAATATTCAGCATTTGGTATAGCTCTGCCATCACCATCACACAAAAAAAATGTGGAATTGGATCTACTGCATGTAATACTCTTCTGTCAAATCGGTGCCACTCCTATGATGTAATAAATGTGGAAAATATTTCTATTCGAGGCTTTTTGAGTAAGTATTTATTCCAGTGAATAAAATGGGAGTCGTAAAATGTGGAGAGTAATGTCTTTATTCCCTTGATACCTTAGAGGATAGTTTGACTATTTTTACATAGAAAATAGAAACCACATAGTAATATAAAATATAAGTAGAATTTTTAAAACCTCATTTTAAAAGCTGGGTTTACGTGTTACCATATAAAGTGAGAACATTCTGTAAGGATATTAGATATGAGTAGCACAGCTATATGTAATTATTAAACTCAAGCCATGTGAATATTACATGGTAGTTTATTTGAAATTGTATTAAATAATTTGTTCATGAGATTTTTGTATATCATTTATGTAAAATATTTAAGATTTAATATACTTTGAATAAATTTAACTAAATTAAGAATCTGCAGATTTTCACATTCCTTTCCTACAGTGCAGCACAGCCAAAAAAGTCTTTTTTGAATGAGTTAAGGAGTGCTGTATGTATTTTATAAGAATTACTTACAAATGCATTGGCTACAATTATATCATCAGGAATTACTTACCCTTCCTTATCTCCCTAACTCAGAATAAACAATTAAAGAGCACAAATTCAGAATATAGGCTGTGCAATTTTACTAATACAGCATATACTCCTCCCCTATTATGTAAACTTTTCCTAGTTCAGTTCTATTAACATGTTAACGATTTTCATATAATCTTTTATTTGTCTATGGAGGTATTCCTTCCTCATTTTGCCAGCTAATTAGCCAAAAGATGTGTACATTCCCCACGATTTATACATTTAATGTCTACAATCACCCATTTTTTAATCACTTACAAAACAAATGGCTACCTAGTCCAAATTCTAGAAATCCCAGCACTATCTTAATCCACATCTCATGATCATCATCAGCAAAATCTTTGAAAACCGTGTTTATTGTGCACACTTTACTTTTGTCACTTGCTACCATTCACAAAAAAAAAAAAGATCGTGAAACTGGAGTCACTTTCAACTGTCATCACCAGTCAACATGATGGTAAAATAAATAGATTGAAGGAAACTATTGAAAAAACACATTTTATAAATTTTATTAAAATAAAACAAACAAAACGAGTTTCTGATGTTAATAGTCTTATTAGCCAGCTTGTAACATCACATTTTCTGTGTGTACTGGAACTTCTTATTCTAGGGGACACTAATTAGTTTTAAATGGTGTTAAATACCATCCCTGCAGTTGCAAGTGCTTCTCTGGGATTTTTACTAGAGAAAAGAACTCCTGTAATTTAAAACCACTTTGTTTTCTTCAGTCACAGCTGTTAGGGAAACAATGACCTGTAGGAATCTTAAAGGTTTTTCACCCCTCTCTCACTGCCATTAGTCGGCGTTTATTTTCTAACACATCTTTTCCCCTTGTACCGCTGCTCCTCCAAATTCCCATCCCCCAAATTGCTTTCAGCCGAGAAAACGCATTTAGCTAGTTAAGCCCTCCTCTCTTTCCCTCCCCCTTTACAAAGCCTTGGCTCCCCTTAAAGAAAATTCTCCAACAACGTGTCAATTTTATATTGGCTACAAAGACAACTTCTGTTGGGGGAGGGGGAGGAAAGCGGGACTGGAGCTTGGCTGTCCCTTTCCACAGACAGGGATCTTTGTGGCGATCAGAAAACATTTCCTGCATTAAAAATCAACACTCTCCCTGCTTGCAGGGTTGGGGAGCAAGAACGAATGTGTATCAGCCATGTCCTCCAACGAATGGAACACGTCCATTAACCTTCCAAACAGGAAACTAATTTTCTCAAAATATGTCAGCTTTCTTGCATTATTCAACATAATCCAAGATCTCAAAGGCTCTGGTAGCTCCCCCACTGGGGAATGGGTGAACGCTATAAATCAATCACTCCTGTACTTTCTTTTTCCTCCGCATTTCCGTTGCATGTTTTTTCCATCTAGCTCATCTTTGACGATTCCCCCCACACACACACACCTCTCTCGTGCATTATCAACAGGGGACCAAGAAGAGCACAAATCACGCACGAGGGATATCAGGTCTTACAGAATCAACCTGCATTTTAATTCCGCCCTCCTCCCCTACCCGCACGTGACTTCACAGCTGGAGACCTCTGAGTTTGCGCTTCCAGTGGGGTTTTCTTGACCCGCCAAAGAGCAAGCACGAGGTATTCATCGTGCAAAGCATCTTAACATCCCTCACCTGTGGGAGGGAGGGGCACCCTTGGCTTCCTGTATCAGGAGGTCATTTGGTCCAAAGAGGCTTGCTATTGCGTTTATGTCACTGTGTAGTCGTGCTACCCCAAACCTAGAAAGGGACGTCGTGTTTGAGAGCGTGGGGCGCAGAAGAAAGGAAGGCGACTTTTTACAGGGCTGGAGCAAAAGGGAGACGTCTACTAATTCATTTCACAGGTGTCATGTGTGAGAGTTTGTGTAAGAAAGAAAGGAGGAGGGAGGGAGAGTGAAGGTCTCCCCGAGGAGCTGCAGCCTAATAAAGCTCCCCAAACTCCAGTGCAAACTGTCTCCACGTATCTGCATCTCTTGTCTCCTGAATATTCCACCCGCACTTCCGGGGTTATGTTGCTGAGAACTATGCCATCCTCACTGCCCTGCCCATCTCTCAAATCTTGAAACCTAAAACTAGCCTAAGAGTCCTTTATCAGTGAAGATCACAAGTCAAATGAATCCAAAAATGCTCGAGTTAAAGGAGAAACAATTACGCCCATGTGTTGAAACAGCACGTTTTAACTCCATCCCCAGGCGCCCCCCTCACCTCCCTGTATCTCCCCGTGTCTGCGGGACACTTACCTTCTTTGGGCGGTCGCTTGGCCTCTCTGGTAAGATTGCAGACCTGGGTGGTTTGCAGTTCCTGGGTCAGGCATCCCTCGGTCTGCTCATTCAGGGGTAACACCACGTTATTTAACATGACCAGCGATTGGTCGTCGATTCCCCACTCTCCCAAATGCTGAGGGCAGGTGCATTTTGTATACATGATCCCACATGCTTCTGTTCTCCCATTTTCTGATTTTAAGCAGCTCTCCAACCAAGTGCATAATACATGGCAACCAAACTGGCTTGGGCTCACCTTGTTCAATACCAAAAACTCAAAAAAAGATTTCTGGTCTTCTTCCCCTTTTTTCTGTAATCCTGGGAAGTCGGTTGGAAATACCCGACGTATCTGAACAAAATTTTTATCATATTGTAGAAAAACAAAAGCATTCTTGGAGTCACAGAGTTGCATTATAGAATGATTCTTTCTTAAAAGATCCTTTATTTTTTCATGAGAAAAATGATCAAACTGATAAGCCAGGAGGGAAAAGTTAGAGCAGCTAAGGTCCTTTTTGGAAAATTTCAGGTAAATGCTATATTTGGTTGGATCTGGATTTTCCAGCGTCCAAGTGCAGTTTGTAAAGTTTTTGGGAAACATTTCACTTACAGAATACGATCCATAAATGACTCCCTTCACCAAAGTTGAACACCAGAAGTCTTGGGCAGCATTAAATCCAAACATAACCAGGAGATAGGTGGAAAATATATAAATCAGCAGGTTACGAACAGCCTTCATCCTATGTCATTGGGCCTGTAAAAATGGCAATGAAAGTAAAACGCAAGTAGGAGTCTATGTGCATTGAAAAAAGAAACTCCTCCAATATTACAGCCAGCTGTTTTCAAGATTTCAGTTTAAAAAAAAAAGGAAAAAAAAACCTTTTTAAAAGAAGGGCAGGTAATTTTTATTTTATAACGCCAGGAAATTATCTGTTGCTGTGTGAACAGCGCCCTCAAGTGGCCATCACAATGGCCAAATTCTCTACATTCAATTTAAAAATATTTCATTGATTAATAGGAATATTCTAATAGATCTACCAGTATTTCCACCAAGTGCACTCTAATTCTATTGAAAGGAGAGAGGAAATATGACTTTTTAAAAAGATCATAGCCTGGATGTTAATTTTTGAAATGTTTTTAAGTACCCTATACAACCTTTTCTTTCCCTCAGTTTTCTGCCTTGCAGTAAACATCATGACACAAAATCTAATCCGATAATCTCTGAACAGCTGTCATCACATTATGTCTTTCTCTTAAATGTGAAAGTAATTACGATAAATGATAGCCACAATTCTAAAAGCGCAAACGATTTGCTGCAGATGAAACATATTCTCCTAAATGTCTCTACTTGTCTTTGCAGGGGCCACGCTGTAAACTGATGAGAAATTCCTGTGCAGAAACACCAGCATTCATGCAGGTTAACAAAATTTTAAAACCATCACCTGAGAAAGGGAATAGGTGGGCATATACACAGGGAAGACTTGTTCGACATCACCACTGAGAACCAGAATTTAGGCAGTCATTTCAATGAGACATGCCCTCTTGGGATACATAAAGTGGATCATTGTATTAGTATCTGTATCCAAAGGCGATGCCAGTGGGAAAAAAAAAATACCCCAGGACCACATTAACTGAGCTGGCTTCAGCCTTTTAATTTGTCTATTAAATTAGGGCTTTTTTATCTAGAGTTATCTACAGTAATTTAAGATTTACACATGCTAAATAAAGACATTAGTATTTTCTTTCCTAGCAGCTTTCAATTATTGAACTGCTTTCTTTCCAACCACAGCTCCAAAGCTCCTCTTCTTTATATATTTTTTTTAACTTGGCCTTGCATAATAAAGTAATCCTTGGTTATATTTACCTCTGTAAGTTGTTATCCAAAAATAGCTTGAATTTTTCTCAGCTTTAGCCTTTAAGAAGTTATTTCTTAGAATAAATGACACTGCTTTTTTTTTGTTTAGCCTTTGAGCTGAGAAAAGTGATGCCAAGTTAATTTTAAAAGTCTTTAGGCTGCAGTCTCTTCCACTATTCTGTAAACAGAGACAAATATACAGACATAGAGTTAAGAGTTTTCATGTCTTAGCCTGGGTCCTCTCCGAACCAAAGGATAAAAGCCTCTTCCTTCCCATTGCATAACACACACCAACGCATGCACACAAAATCCAGCGACCGAAGTCCCTGAAGACAGATCTGCATTTTCCAGATCGTAATTCAAATTCTATGTCCTGAGGTAGGCAAAACCAGCCCCAACTCTACATCTCTATATAGCAGCAGTTTAAAATAACATCAGAACTGCTGGGACTATCCAAACGGTTCTTCCTGTTTCAAGCATACAGCTCAATGAATAATGCATTTTGTTCTTGAGAAAATAAAGCCCATGAACATTTAAAGGTTAAAAAAAAATAGAAAAAAAGTTGTAGGAAATTCTGGAAATAATTTTCTTTTCCTTTTTTTTTTTTTCTGTAGCACTTTGCAGGCAACGCAGGTCTGCGCAGTGTGCTTCAGGATAGAGTGTAGGCGATGAGAGCCAATGTGACAATGTGTCTAAATTAGGAATTCCACCCATGAAAGGGGGCTTCATTTTCTAACCGCTAACTCAAAAAAGAGGTTGTATTTCTTTTCCTAATGAAAGCCGGTACTTTTGTTTCCATTTATTTGACAGTGCATGCCTGCATTGCTGTGCTCATCAAGGACTAGAAAGAGTGAGGAAATAGCTCTGATTTCACTTTCAAGCCTGCTCAAGAGTCCCCTCAATATAATGCTCTTTATTTTCATCATGAAGCCTTGGTGTATGGAGTCTTGTTTTATTCTAAATAACCAGAAATGAATCATGGTACACTGTCGCCACCCCCCCACCCNCCCACCCCCGACTGCAGGGGCAGTTCAAACAATTGTATTTCCCTCTTTAAGAAAGAAAGAATGGGGAAAAGGGTGTCTACGGGCTGGCCACCTAGGTCTCAAGGATGGTGAATGTTTGTATGTATGTATGTATGTATGTATGTATGTATGTATGTATTCATTTGTCTCCTGCTGAGAAGCAAACAGACGTCTAGTTGAGCTATTCTCAAAACTGATTTTCTGGGTGACACTTTAGTTTAGTCGAACATAGACGGCGCCATCACTCCACTGAATTTTTTTTTTCCCCCAGTAGAAGACCCACGGCTTTCCCTTAACTTCCTTTTTAACCTAAAAGGTTCCCCTCGTAAAAATTATCCCAGTCACACACACCGTCAGATTTTCTAGGTCTCCCTGCCTATTCCTTCCGACCCAGCTCATCGCCTGAAAACCAGACTTCTCTAACTTTTCAACTGCGGCGTTTAAGTGAATGCAGACAGGCGGGTTTGCTCGCAGCCCTTGCATCTGCCAGCAACAGCCTTCCCTCTCCTTGTCCTCTCTCCGCAAACATCGAGCTGAAAAGCTCCTCGGTGGCGACCCCTGGCAGAGGGAAGGTGACCCCTGGACCCCCTTCCTTACCTTCCACTCCGAAAGCTCAGGGAGGCTCTTGCTCTAAGACACCAGCACAGGCACGCGTCCCAGCAACAGTGACGGAGAGACTCCCCTTCGGTCCCAATCACCGTTGCCCATTTTCCCCGGCTCAGCTTCAAAAATCAGGGTTTATTAAAAAAAAAAAAAAACACACACACATATGAGAAGCAAAAGATGGGGGGAATCAATGATGGGGAGGCGTGGGAGAAAAAAGCACCCAGGACCCCGGAGTCTGACGCCGTATCCAAGTGAATCCAACCTCCAACCGAGGGCGTGGGGGTGGGGGGAGCGAGTCCCCCGAAGAGAGACTCTAAGGAAACAACAGAAAAAAAATGCAAATGGCTTAAGAGCAAGGATTTGTTTGATCAGATCTACCCCCTTCAACAAACCGATTAGCCAAGAAGCAAAGAAAGCGCTGAGACGAGAAGTGACCGGCGGCGGCAGCGGCTGCGGCTGCTAAGGCAGATTTGTTGGGGCGGTGGGTTTATTACAGGAGTATTCGTGGTCGGATCGGAAGGCTCAAGCTTTTGCTTTTTCCTCTTTCCGCTTTCCTCCCTCCTCCTCCCCCCCCCACCCCCCGCAGGTACTGATGGACGGACGGCGACTAAGGAGAAGGGGGGGGAAAAAATCCTTGGCTGGTGATGTCGGAAAGCTGTTTGAATGCCCAGAGAGGAGGGAGGCGCGAGAGGGAGCGAGATAGTAAAGCTCTGTCTCGGGTGTGCGCGCCGGCGCGCGGCGCTCGCGCTCCCTGGGGCGCGCGCCAGGGAGAGGGGGGGCGCG